AAACTTAATTACACAATTCTGAGCACTTGCCAAATGAACGTAAATAATCACCAAGAAGCAAATAATTACCTACATAATTTATTAGGGATCATTCGATATCTAGCTAAAAACTAATCAAGACATCAAATATATTGTTTTTAATATATCTTGGTTCGTACGTGTTAATGTAGTCCTCGCATTATATAAAATCACTTAGAATCACTACAATGTTAATAGTATAGCAAAGGCACTAACAATTTTGAAAGGAGCTATGAAGACCAGGATGCCGTGGCCTTTTGTATGGACGTGATATCCTTTCGTCTTATAGTTGTTTAACCTTGTTTTCGCAACTATGGGAACGCATCTTGTCCGGAGTCCATAGTATGCATGATAAGTTCTAAAGTCGGATTGTGTGATTGGTAAATTCTCGAGTCCCCGGTCCGACTCCGGAAATTATTATGCATACTATGTACTCCGAAAAAGATGCGTTCCTCTAAAATTTTAAACAATATTTAAAAAATCCATCTCATCATACCGGTCTCCAGGAAGATCGGCTAATTCGGGGGGCCACGCCTCCAAAGGAAAGCCGGCTCTCCGTAGAATCATACGACGACAGATTTCATATACAGCCTTGCGATCAGTCTCTGGACGATAAGGTCGCACTAAATATGGCATGCGCTGCCTGGAGATAGTATCAACGGCAGAGATCCCAATAGACGTGATCGAATGACCTCCAGTAAGTGCTTGACCGAACGATACTAGAGTCGTGGATGGCGGTGGCAAAATTGCTTGCCCACTTCCATCTGGTTGGATAAACTCCGGGTTATTTGATGCTGCTGACACAGGAGCAGGAGGAAGAACATTTTCAGATTGTGGAATAGGCGAAGTAGTCCCAGTCATGTTACCAGCATAGTCTGTAACCGGAGTGGCAAGACCGGAGCAGGCGAACGTTTGGCCCCATTGATTGCCTACAAGCAGAGTTGTAATGCTGAGACCAGCTCTGGACGGAGCTGGAAAGAGATCCTGAGCGGACTCTAAGGGAAGAATGCGCTATAGAAGAGAACAAATCAAAGAAAGTGTAAGGAATTGCAATGGGTAACATAGAAAAAAACAGATAGATAAATAATAGGTCAAATTTTAAAAATTCATGAACACGAGATGATCACCGACCGGTGATACAAATCAAAATAATCCTCTATAAAGGGGAAAATTTAAAAGTAACTAAATCAAATTGCATCCTAAGTCAATCTTGTGAATAAGATTAGGTAAAAATAGTTTATGTAAATAGATTCACTTTCCAAGCTTGATTCATAATAACAGCTAGTGGTGACCAATCCCTACACTTTTACCATTCAATGTTTAGTTTTTGTTACATCCCATAAGTAACCCATAAGTAGCTTTCAAAATTATCATTAATTATTGGCTAAAAGCCTGGTAACCCTAAGTAAATCTAAGTGATTTAAGGACTAAATAGTTGAGTTTGTCAA